AGGCAGCCCAATCCTCTGCGCAATCTCTTCGGTGGAAATCCTCTCCTGCCACTGTTTGGACCGGGAAACACCAAGGATGACGCGGCAGCAAGCATGGTGGAAGGTGTTGAACTGCTGCAAGTGGGTGGCTTTCACGGCCCAAGTCTCCGCACCATAGAACAGTGTAGTGAGTACAACGGCTTGATAAACTAGTTTCTTGATAGCAACGGAGAGACATCCACACTGGAAGATAGGTCTCTGCAGGGAACCAAACACGCGAGATGCCTTGGCAAGTCTTGCCCGAACCTCATCATCAAGGGCACCGCTGCCACTGATGGTGCTGCCAAGATAGGTGAAATTTTCCACCACCTCAATGTCCCCTCCAGAGTCCAGACGAACCCCAGGCGGATCGACACCATTCACCACCATAGCTTTGGTCTTGGCCGTGCTGACTGTTAGGCCCCACTGAGAGGCGCATCCGACGAACTCGTTGGTCATGACCTCAAGGTCCTGGTGCGAAACGGCATAGAGTGCCGCATCATCCGCAAACTGGGCACACACACACACACACACACACACACACACACACACACACACACACATGCATACATACACACACATACCAGGCGCGTACTCGGCGATGGGCACGGGGGGCACGTGCACCCCCCAAAAATTTTCAATCTGGGTAATTGCAATTGTAATGTATGCAAATATGCTCTAAAATTCAAGAAAGGTTGCAAACAAATAATCCCCTCGACTCCCGTGCACCCCACTAGTTGGGGGGCCGAGCACGCCCCTGCATACACACACACCCACACACACACATACACACCCACATGCATACATACACACACACACACACACACACACACACACACATGTACATAGCACAGTAGCCGATCTCGTGCAGGAGCACAATGGATCCAAAGCCCTACTTCCTCTGTTCCTCAATCAGAGACGGCACCAAGTAGTGAAGACAGTTGCAAACATTCTAAAACTCTTCTCTGCCGATCGCAGTAGTGTACACCTTGCTGGTATAAACGTGTATGAGCGGCCGCTGAGACTTTAAACACCTGTACAAACACAACATGGAAAACAGAGTGGGAATCACTCATAATGATTTTACGTTGACCTAATTTCATTCAATCTCATGATACAGCAGTTAGTGTGTACATTACGGGTCAGTAACATTACGCTATCAGTGACGTCTCCTGGCTCTTGTGACAGACAGTGCAGTTTGTCTAGGTGAGCGGTTAGACAGCAACCCCCCCCCCCCCCTTTCCACCCCCTTCTCTCTGATTACTGCACTAGCACTGTAATAGGTATTCGGGGGGAGGGGGGGGGGAGGTTTATCAAGGTTTGAAGTGAGCATGTCACTAGTGTCCGGCCGGTGCAACTAAAGCATCCCAGTGTAGCTAATCTTACTGGAAAGTGTGCTCAACAACTTGACTCCCAATCACACTGGTGATGAATGAGCTCTGCACTAACTCTGCACCTTCCCAAACGTCCCTATTTATATGACCCCATACCACCATACCTCCATGCCACCATACACCCAAATCCCCATACCTCCATGCCACCATACACCCAAATCCCCATACCGCCTGCCATACCCCCATGCCCCCAAACCCCCATGCCGCCAAACCCTCATGCCACCATACACCCAAATCTCCATACCCCCATACCACCATACGGTGCCACCATACACCCAAATCCCCAAATCCCCATACGCCCATACCGCCATACCTCCATGCCGCCATACACCCAAACCCCCATACCGCCATAGCTCTATACCCCCATGCCCCCATACCGCCATGCCCCCATACCTCCATACCGCCATGCTCCCATACCCCCATGCTCCCATACCGCTATACCACCAAACCATCACACAAGCGATGGGAGAGAAGAGAGTTGGAGACCGACATAGAGAGTGAGTGAGGGAGGGAGGGAGAGAGAGAGAGAGAGAGAGAGAGAGAGAGAGAGGAGATAGAGAGAGAGGGAGAGAGAGAGCGATTGTGAGATAGAAAGAGGCAGAAACACAGAGGCAGATGCAGAGTTAGAGGCAGAGGCAGAGACAGAAACAGAGAGAGGGAGAAAGAGAGAGAGAGAGAGAGAGAGAGAGAGAGAGAGAGAGAGAGAGAGAGAGAGAGAGGCAGAGAGAGATACAGAGAAGGAGAGAGAGAGAGAGTGAGAGAGAGAGAGAGAGAGAGAGAGGGAGAGAGAGAGAGAAAGAGAGAGAGAGAGAGAGAGAAAGAGAGAGAGAGAGATAGAGAGAGAGAGAGAGAGAGAGAGAGAGAGAGAAAGAGAGAGAAAGAGAGGGGGAGAGAGAGGGAGAGAGGGAGAGAGAGAAAGAGAGAAAGAAAGAGAAATAGAGAGAGAGAGAGAGAGAGAGAGAGAGAGAAAGAGAGAGAGAGAGAGAGAGAGAGAGAGAGAGAGAGAGAGAGAGAGAGAGAGAGGGGAGAGAGGGAGAGAGGGAGAGAGAGAGAGAAAGAGAGAGAGAGAGAGAGAGAGAGAGAGAGAGAGAGTAAGTTACATTTATAAAGACAGGTAAGTCTAACAAATGAGGACTGAGACCTCTACAACAGGGTTTTTACGCCTGAAAGCAGGTGCATGATTTAACAAGCAGGTTGTCAGTCTAGATTTTATGCGCAGATGGAGAAAAAGCGCAGAATTTTTGTAATGAGATGAAAAGCAGAAATAATAAGAAATAATAAGAAAAGATGAAATGAAAGCCTGCTCACAACCCCGCCCAGCCTTGCGAACTGGGTATGGTGGATTAAGAACCCGGTTCAACGCTCGAGCAAGCGCTCTCCACTCAAGGTGTTCACAGCAACTGATAGGAACTCATATGGGGAAATTATAGAAAAGAAATAATAAGATAAAGAGAATAAATTTCAACGCACCTCAATAAACGGAGCCCCACATACAGTACCTCAGAAAAGTGGATCTTCCGACCAGTGTTTTTGTTGACGCCGCAACCAGATGATGTAGCTGCTTCGCAGAGACGTCTTACTGCACAAATTACAAATAAATTTTATTCTTCGATTAGAAAACCCAAGCGCTTTCAGAGCCCTCCGAAGAGAGTCCGGGATGAAACCACGCACACCTACCTCAACCGAAAAAGAAACGACCTGCCACCCGTTTGCTCGGCATTGATCGGCCAGATCTGCATACCGCCTGTCCTTCCGCGAGTTACTGACACTGAATCTGTCCTCAGCACAAACTGTCAACTCCATCCAGAACACAATCCTACGACTCGTAGAGTACAGAACTATATCTGGTCTTAGGGTGGTAAGTGCAACACAGCTAGGGAAAGAAATCTTTGCACTAACTGAGTCGACAAGAAGTTTCCAGTCTGGGGCCGCTGACAGGAGATCAGTCGTAACCAACTTTCGTCTGGGCTGAACGCGAACTGGCTTCTCTCCCGCCTTGCAAAACGAGATGAAGTCAAGCTCATTTGAATTTTCGGTTTGTACGGTGTTTGCAGCAGTGCGGATTCGAATCTCCTCACGCATGTTCCTGACGATGACCCTGAGTACGTTGTCGTGCCTCCAGGTGTAACGTCCCTGGTCCAGCGCTACGCGACAAGCGCCAAGCACGTGGCGCGTAGTACAGGCCCAGGTACGGCACAAACTACAGTACGGATCCACTACGGTGTTTCCCCAACGGCGTAGGTTCGTCGGAGAAGGTAGCACGTCGAGGGTTGATGCGAGAAGAAATTTCAAATCCTTACCAGTACCACCGTACAAAAGGGATTTCCACGAGAGGTCCTGCCACATCACCGATGTCCACCCCAACCACTTGCCTTGCACCTGAAGAGTCTTCAGCCTCAAAATCTGCTCCTGCGCGTTGATCTCCTCAAATGTTTGAAGGAGATCCTTCCTCGGGGGTTTGGAATGCTGCTTCGGAGCACGAGCACCCAACCCTGCACGATGACTTGAAGATGACGGTGGACGGAGAGTCCCTGAACCTACTGATGCCTCTGCACACTCCAGCTCTATTGTCGCCGCATAACGCTTTGTCAGCTTCGCATCCTTACTCCGACGCAGAGTGTACAGCGCCCTCATGCGCGCGTCCCCACTCGATCGAAGAATGTGCCATTTGATGGACTGGCACTTTTTCCACACTGTAGGAAGGTAGTGGAGGCGTAAGCCAAAGCGTTTGCGACTGCCAATAAAAAGAATGGCAGAGTTTGCGCATTGAGGTAGGCCTGACCATTTCTTCAGAAATGGTAAACACATAAAGTGCAGTTCACGTACAAAACCTTGTGTGAGTTCAAGAACCTGGAAAGACCAAGAAAGCTTGGGCACTACAAGATGGTGGTAAAGCCATAGCTTGTGGTGGTCTTGAAGCCAAGAGCCATCTACTTTTTGCATGAGAGATACAGTGAGTTGACGGATGTCTTCCCGCTGGGTCTGCTCAGAGCAATCAGCATGCAGCCTTCGCCCCAGGAACTTGAACTCTGCAGTGTCAATGAAAGCGATCTTCCTCCCTGACATCGTCAGGCAGGGATCGTAAGGTTTGTACCGGCCATCTACAAGCTTTGCTGCACTGCTTTTGCATTTGTGCGGCGCCGCCTGCATACATTGGGTCCACGAGAGAAAGTCCTCCGTGACCGCAATGAGTTTTTGACAACCTGCACTAGATTTGCTATAGAGGCCTAAGTCATCAGCAAAAGCTGTTTGGGACACTTGCAAAGGGGCAGATTTAAAATCATAGGAGAGGCAACTTAATTCAGGGGCTGCAAGTGAGTCCAGCAGAAGCTGGAAACAAATATTGAAAAGGACCGGGGACAAGGGGCACCCCTGGAAAACACCAATGTTGTAATTAAAGGTGGGGGTGTGTGGTTGTACGACGAAAGCGCAAAGACTGTCGTAGTAGGAAAAAATTAATTTCCTGAATTGCAAAGGAAGGCTGTAGTGGGTTAGAGCATACTGTATCAGATTGTGGCGCACTGAACCAAATGCATTCTTCAAATCTATCCACGCAATGCAAATTTGGCGTTTTGCCGTCTTTGCATCCCGCATCGCCTCATAACAAAGTGATGTATGCTCTAAGCACCCAGCCTTTGCAGGCATAAATCCTTTCTGGTTGTCACCATCGAAGAACTTATTGCCTAGCATATGTTTCAAGAGGCGCTTTGCAACTAAGGTGAAAAAGATCTTCCCGGACGTGTTTGCTAGAGCAATCGGTCGGAATTTCGAAGGATCATCAGACACCTCCCCCTTGGCCAGGAGTGTGATACACGCTACCTGCCACTGCCTTGGAATGATCTTGCTCTCCCAAACCCGCCCAAAGATGGTGAAAAGAATGGATTGAAGGGAGGGACAAAGCTTCCAAACTATGTAAGGTATCTTGTCAGGACCCGGTGCAGAGGTGTTGCGACACTTCTTCAAAACATTCTGAAATTCAGTCCATGTAGGGGTCCCCTCATCGACTGGGTGGGTGCAATCCCGGGGCTTCCCTGCACTGAGGCAGGATTCGTACGAAGTGGCACGATCCTGGTCTGCATATGTGTGTTGGAAGTACTCAAAGCAGGTAGTGTCAGAGAAAGTGGGTTTGACATGGTTGGTTGGTTGAAACAATTTCTTTCCGAAGGCATATGGGTCCTTGAGAAAGGCATCCTGGTCCCTCTTGTTCCGGGATCGATCGTCGTACATCTTTTGTTGTTTCAAAAGACGCTTGATTTGTTTTCCAATTGAAAAATATTCATTTCTGAGCGCTGCAGGTACTTCGTCCGGGTTTTTGATCTTACGAAATTGGCGCTTTAAATCACGCCTGTGAGCCCGGAGTTTTTCCACTGCACGGTTTTTATTTGCATTCTTGTGTTTTGGTGGAGGTGGTGGTGGTTTCTGGTCGAAAAACCAGTGAATGAAGTTCTCTAGTTTGTCCAGAGTCTCTTCGATGTTAGTGTTTTTGAGGTATGAGGTTGGGAAATGTTGAGTGAGATGGATCTTCAACTGAGCGTCTATTGTGTGCCATGCCTTGGTGTTTTTGGCTGACGGTAGCAGTAGGGACTGCCGGACTTCTACCTTGTCCATGTCCCGTTGATTCAGAACATGAAGTAAAGACTCATTATGACAGGGAGTGGATTCGTGCGGGATTGTTCGCAATTCATCTCCAGGAGTCATTGTCTGACCTACAGATGGGCTGAAGTGCATTGAATCAATCATGGAAGTTGTCCGACCATCCCCGCTACTGCCGTCTGCTTTGGCTGAGGTGGTTGAAAGTGATTTGTAGACCGGGCAGGTCTGTAGATGTCGTGGCAAGTTTTGTTTCCATTTGAGTTTTCTCAAACAGTGTGGACATGTTGTTTCCCGGTCTGATGGTGTAATGGTTGGTGTACTTGCCTCTAAAGTCATTGGAGTCTCGTGTGGTGGTGATGCAGAGACTGCTGACACAGCTCCAGCCTGCGACGCAGCCAATGTTTTGCATTTGTTAGTCCGCATATGTCGTGCAAGGTTATGTTCTTGTTTGATGGTGGTGTGACATTTCGGACATGTATGATGTTCACCTGTGTCATGCCGTGTACTGGAGTGCTTCCGCTGGCTTGAGGTCAAACCCAACGGATCGTCATATGGCGCAGCAGAATCGTCCAGGGACACAGAGTGTTCGTGTGGTGCGTGCGTAGTGTCTAGGGCTTCATCCTCCTCCCCCTTTCGGAGCCCATGGGTGGCATTTTTCCTATTTGAACTTGAAGCAATTTAAAAGACTCAGGAGAGAGCTAATCTCAAAAGCCTGTGAAAACGCCGAGGCGTAATTTTTTGGAACTGGAGTAAGTTACATTTATAAAGACAGGTAAGTCTAACAAATGATGACTGAGACCTCTACAACAGGGTTTTACGCCTGAAAGCAGGTGCATGATTTAACAAGCAGGTTGTCAGTCTAGATTTTATGCGCAGATGGAGAAAAAGCGCAGAATTTTTGTAATGAGATGAAAAGCAGAAATAATAAGAAATAATAAGAAAAGATGAAATGAAAGCCTGCTCACAACCCCGCCCAGCCTTGCGAACTGGGTATGGTGGATTAAGAACCCGGTTCAACGCTCGAGCAAGCGCTCTCCACTCAAGGTGTTCACAGCAACTGATAGGAACTCATATGGGGAAATTATAGAAAAGAAATAATAAGATAAAGAGAATAAATTTCAACGCACCTCAATAAACGGAGCCCCACATACAGTACCTCAGAAAAGTGGATCTTCCGACCAGTGTTTTTGTTGACGCCGCAACCAGATGATGTAGCTGCTTCGCAGAGACGTCTTACTGCACAAATTACAAATAAATTTTATTCTTCGATTAGAAAACCCAAGCGCTTTCAGAGCCCTCCGAAGAGAGTCCGGGATGAAACCACGCACACCTACCTCAACCGAAAAAGAAACGACCTGCCACCCGTTTGCTCGGCATTGATCGGCCAGATCTGCATACCGCCTGTCCTTCCGCGAGTTACTGACACTGAATCTGTCCTCAGCACAAACTGTCAACTCCATCCAGAACACAATCCTACCTCGTAGAGTACAGAACTATATCTGGTCTTAGGGTGGTAAGTGCAACACAGCTAGGGAAAGAAATCTTTGCACTAACTGAGTCGACAAGAAGTTTCCAGTCTGGGGCCGCTGACAGGAGATCAGTCGTAACCAACTTTCGTCTGGGCTGAACGCGAACTGGCTTCTCTCCCGCCTTGCAAAACAAGATGAAGTCAAGCTCATTTGAATTTTCGGTTTGTACGGTGTTTGCAGCAGTGCGGATTCGAATCTCCTCACGCATGTTCCTGACGATGACCGAGAGAGAGAGAGAGAGAGAGAGAGAGAGAGAGAGAGAGAGAGAGAGAGAGAGAGAGAGAGAGAGAGAGAGAGAGAGAGAGAGAGAGAGAGAGAGAGAGAGAGAGAGAGAGTGAGAGAGAGAGAGAGAGAGAGAGAGAGAGAGAGAGAGAGAGAGAGAGAGAGAGAGAGAGAGAGAGAGAGAGTGTGCTTGGGGGGGGGGGGCTGGGGAGATGATGGGGTGGAAAGAAAATGCTTCTGTTCAAATTTGTGAGCCACCCCGCAAACTGTGGTGAAGAATGTTGTAGTCAATCCTGAACTTCAGCAAATGTCTGTACTGAAAAGAGGTCTTGCACAGACTAGGTTTCTGTAGAGCACAGTATGTTGAGAACAAGGTCTAGCTGAAGCCAGGTTCCTATGCAAGTAGACTTCACTCGATTTCACACAACTGGTTTTGGTTACATTCGATTCACCAGAGCGCAGAATATAGGAAATATGTAAGTACTATTCAAATCCGCTCAAAGTCTCTGGAGTTATATTGAATTTAAGTACTTGGTCCGCCAAGTTAAAATTGGCGCTTATCTTCTCACTTGGTTTTTCGGTGTTCTGCCAATGTCACACGGCATGGAACCACCGATTTACCATCCAAACATAACCATTGACCATTGCATCCGACGACATGGCAGCACAAACCATCACAGAAGTTGCGATCGGTTTGTTTGAGTCTTTTTGACGGAGCTGCCGCCGACGAACACTTCCGTCAGCGTAAGAAAACACTTCAACCTCCGCTCGAGTCCGTAAAATAGGTCAGGATGTTCGCATTTTAGAGCGATGGAGAATACAGCTTCTGTCTACTTCGAGCTGTCTGATGGCAAGGATTGTTTACCCCGGGGAGGTATAGAAAAGCTGAAAAAGCGCTTCGCGAGCTTGAATTTCAGTGCTTGCACAGCACAGCGCCTAGTGAAGGGCTATCTATCACCAGCAAATCGCTGACGAAGAAACTGCAGCTCAAGTCGACATCTCCAGAAAGTGAGACCAATCCGGCGGACACACTTTGAAGCTCACAGAGGACAGGGCAAAGGAGCTAATCAAAATAAACACCAAGTCGTGAGGGAAAGACTCGTGCAAAGGGCTTTCAGGAAACTAGCCGAAAAGCCTGGTGCACGGCGTTAGGACTGACTTGTAGGTACAGTACGCACAGGTGCTACATCAAGCGGAAGCTATCACTGCGCTGCATGTACAAGCACCAGCGGCTCGCGTGGGTGCTGATCAGCAAGTACGACAAGCGCAAGAGGCGATGTGAAAAATGGAAACTGAGTGACATGGCGTTGCCTTTTTGTCTCAAACAAAGACGCATTATTGCGACGAACGGGGATAACACTTACAGCCAACATTCGAGCAGTCTAACTCAGCTTCTGATCAGGAAGGTGATAGGCACGCACTGCCTTTGAGCGTGATTCGAGGCGAGGAGAAGTGAAACAAGCTATGAAACGCGCAGCATTTGTTCGGATCGAACGTTTTGAGCTCTTCCTCCAGCGACGACAGTGGCGAGGAGGATGTGTAATTTTCTTGAATTTTCGACTGAGTTGCTTACTGACATGTAATTAATCATGTACATAGTGCTTTGTGATGGTGGCTTGCTTCAGATATTCGTATTTCCTTCCTGAGACAAGTGTGAAGATAAGCGCCAATTGTAACTGGGCGGACCAATTTTTTCACCGATTTGTAGTTTTGCGGAAACAAAGATGAATGCTAATGATGGGAGAACAAAGAAAAGTGCATGACGACTGCACAGTGCAGTGTTTGTATACAAGTACAAGGCCTCGTTTCTCAAACTCAAAGCATAATATACTTTCGTATGTTGGCAAGGAAGATGAAAGCGTCTCGCAGCTTCGCTATTTCACATGGCTAGTTAGTTGATGGAATAATCCGCGATGCTGAGATCTGATGAGAAGTTTGAGAACTAGCCGAAATTCATGTCTGGGAAAAATGCTGTGTGCAGAGCACCTACATTTTGTCGTATGGAAGCGGGACTTCGAGTCTCAAGGGCACATATATCTCCTCTCTCCAAGAAAGCAATACACTCGATGCGATATTCTAGAATTAGACTTGGCCACGCTGAAAGCGCTGCGATGTCGATTCTCCCATCGGAAGTATTCAAACTTGTTTCGACTGAATCAGAGTCTGGGTGCGAGGCGGTGAAGTGACAGACACAATACATTGTGTATTGGAAACAGATCAGATCTTGTTCACGCTAGGTTGTTACCCAATACATTGAAGGAAGTGTAGCTTACCCGCTTATCACAGAGTAGAACTATCCACCGGTATAGAAGTGATGTCAGCTGATCATAGCTGTACAAGTGACTATCCATGTAACTGTTACATGCTGTCATGGTCGAGAGTAGAGTATCTTTATCCATTGCATTACGCTGAACTAGATGAAAAAATATACATGCATGTACAGACACACATGCCCATATACAGATAATATCAGATATGCACACAGACCCAGAACCACTTACACACACACGGAGACGGACACGAAACATACATATGCACACTCATGGACACACTCACATGCATGCCCACACGTACGGACATGGCAAATTTAATTTTAAGGCCAGAGAGAGAGAGCAACAAATGCTCATCAGAAATACGAAGTACCTGTCTGTGCTATCAGTTATTCCGAGTTATCAAACACAATCCTCCCTCGCCAGTAGATATTATCTGGGCTAAATTAACGACACTTGAATTCATGAAGTTGATTGTTCCAACTAGGAACACACGCTTCTTGCCGAACTTGACACTTGACTGACTCACAACTGCCATCCGGAGCACACGAGGAGCACGTCGCACCTTCCTCTCGGCAAACCTGCAAGAAAGCACCACCCCCTGCTCAATACACAGTGTTTCGGGGAGATCACCCCTCATCAGATGGCAGTCGTGAGTCAGTCAAATGTCAAGTTCGGCAAGAAGTGTGTGTTCCTAGTTGGAACAATCAACTTCATGACTATTACCGCCGAAGTCGCTACTTCGACTTGAATTCATGTTTAGATCATAATACAATGTCGAACATGGCTATTCCCCAGGATCAAGACACCAAGGAAGTCTTTTTTCTGCTTTATCATGTGTGTTTTGACCTCAGTCCTGCATGGACATAATAATTATTCTCATGTGTTTTTAGTAAAGAAAAAAGGACCAAGAAACTACAAGTTATGCTACATAAAAAAGAGAAGAAACACATGAGAATGAGTAATGCAGCAACTATCCACGACTGTAACAAGATGATAAACGGTCAGAAAGTGCGATAACAGGACACAAAACGGACAGGCTAATGAGACATTCAACGACCCGAGACCTAGCTCTAACACATCTCCAGTGCGCAAACCAGCAGCGTTCCAACATGGAAGGTTCATGGTTGGATAGGATCGAAGAGGGGAGGGTGAGCGCAGCGAAAATGTGCACAAGCTAGGTCCCGCGGCAACAAAGAATGCCGACTGTTACAGGTCGATGACGAGACCAGTTAATAACATGACAATTCGGTCTGACTACAATTCGAAGCAGCAAAGCAACACAACACCCAACTTCTCTTTTTTACATTTTATTACTGGCTCAGTATCCGAGTTTAAATTTTGCACACCTGATGAGCAGTCACTAACAACATGGCGAAACGTACGTCGTGTGGAACTACTTGTTATTGTAGTCAACTCGGCCACAAAAGTGTCATGCATGAAGAGTACCATTAGATATTGGCGTTCAGTTTTGTACAATTCGTTTTCACAACGCTTCCCCCTTCCTTTATCTCCGATATTGCTGACCCACCCAAGTTGGGTGGTGTGTTCCCTTTCCCTTTCCCTTTCAAGCCAGCCAAGTTTCGGCTCATTCCCAAAATCCACAAGCCCCTTGGGCCCTGTGGAGTTAAAGGCAGGCCCATTGCGTTGTGTCAGGGCTACTGCACAACCCAGCCTCTCGCTATGTCGACTACCATAATAATTATTAAGAGTCTTGTGAAATCAGCAAGCACTGTGTTTAAATCTACGAACGATTTTGTAAAGAGTTTGATCACTCCGTCGAACGCTGACTTGAGTGACTGCTCCCTTTTGACTGCAGACGTCGAAAGTCTTTACACATGTATGTCGTGGAAAGACATGACCAATGCCCTGTACGTATTCCTTGACGAAAATAATCACCCCATGAAAGACTTGCTCATTGATCTTTCTTCTTTTGTGCTAAGAAATAATTTTTTCTAGCATGATGGTTTGGTGTATCACCAAGAGAATGGCTGGTGGTTAATGTTGCAAATATTTTCCTCTTCGTCCATGAGCGTACATCACTCTCGGTCTTCCGTAACACCATAAAGTTCTTTGGTCGATACAATGATGATCTTCTCTTAATTATCAAAAGACTGAGCAATCTGCCTGCCGTCAAACGGCACATGTACGCAAAACTTGACACCATCAGACTTACGTGGTCAGACCCCAGTAAAAGTATTGAGTTTCTTGATTTGATCATCTCTATCAAGTTGGTTGCTCCAACGAGGAGCACACGCTTCTTGCCGAACTTGACACTTGACCGACTCACGACTGCCATCCAGAGTCGTATTGAGCAGGGAGCGGTGCTTACTTTCAGGTTTGACGAGCGGAAGGTGCGAAGTGCTCCTCGTGTGCTCCGGATGGCAGTCGTGAGTCAGTCAAGTGTCAAGTTCGGCAAGAAGCGTGTGCTCCTCGTTGGAGCAACCAACTTCATGACTAATACCGCCGAAGTCGCAACTTCTATGATCATCTCTATAAAATGATAAATCCACATTCACATTCAGTACTTTCCAAAAGCCCAGGAACGCTCATTTGTACATCCCATTTCCGTCCGACCACCCCGCTCATGTTTCACAGCTTTTATTAAAGCTGAATTGCTGCGCTATAACCACACAAACAGTGAGATCACCTCCTTGCTCGCTATACGTGATGCTTTCTGGACCAGGCTTCGCAAGCGTGGTTACCCACCTAGGTTTCTCCACGATGCGTTCAGTGATACCACAGCTAGCTGTCAACTCACACCTCCAGCTAGCTCTGTGCAAGCATCTGCCTCTTGCCCCACAGTTTTTGTTACTGACTATCACCCTGGCCTCCTCAGCCTTCAACGTACCCTGCAAATTTCTTTTCGCGTTATGTTTTATGAAACCACATTCATGATGGGTGTAGGCATTTTTTACCTCGATGCCTTGCACTCTACCTCGTGTTTGTTTTTCGCCTTGCAAGCAACCCCGTGTTTTGTTCACGCTTTTTTTCGCGCTAATTACTCGACAGTGCTCAACGCCTGTCTGTCCAGTTCTCTGGTTATATTGAGTTTCCATATTGTCATTTATCCTCATTCGGCCTCTGATAAAGTGACTCATGTCACAGAAACCGGTCAGGTTAAGGAACTTGCAACTTTCCTTCAGTCCTTGCTTGTCAGTGAGTGGTTGTTATGTTTTAACCTTGCCATGTAGGACCTTCGCCACCGCTGCTTCACTAGGATATCTCCGATATTGCTGACACACCCAAGTTGGGTGTTGTGTTGCTTTGCTGCTTTGAATTGTAGTCAGACCAAATTGTCATGTTATTAACTGGTCTCGTCATCGACCTGTAACAGTCAGCATTCTTTGTTGCCGCGGGACCTAGCTTGTGCACATTTTCGATGCGCTCACCTTCCCCTCTTCGGTCCTACATAACCATGAACCTTCCAAGTTGGAAGGCTGTTGGTTTGTGCACTGGAGATGTGTTAGAGCTAGGTCTCGGGTTGCTGAATGTCTCAGTAGCCTGTCAGTTTTGCGCCCTATTATCGCACTTTCTGACCGTTTATCATCTTGTTACAGTCGTGGATAGTTGCTGCATAACTCGTTCTCATGTGTTTCTTCTCTTTTTTACATTTTATTACTGGCTCAGTATCCGAGTTTAAGTTATGCTATAATTTCCACTAACACCACCAGTTACTAAACAATCAGGTCATGCGGTAACATTCGATGTTATCACAGGAGCTGATTGTTTAGTAACTAACAACTTGTTACTTGTGGTGTTAGTGGACATTATAGCCTAACTTGTAGATTCTTGGTCCTTTTTCTTTACTATAAATTTATCCTCGGCTCTACATCCGAGTACATTCTCATGTGTTTCTTCTCTTTTTTACATATTTACTGGCTCAGTATCCGAGTTTAAATAATAATTATGTCCATTATAATCTTTTACTGAGGCTTTGATACTGCAGGGACATTGGCCAAGGGTCGATATAACCTATTTTACGTACAAAGGAATTAAGTTGTAAGCGGACTCGTAAACAGTTGTGTAGACCAAGTGTTGTTTTGTACAGTGGTGGCTTCAGATTTCTATTTATTACTAGTTTTTGCGTACTAACCGGGCTTGTTATAACGACGGAGGACCTGTAAAACAATAAAGTGAGTTTTGCATTGCACATTGTCAACATACACACCATGGGTAAGGTATTCTCAGCTCTCATTGTTCGCATTCATATACTTGCTTCACTTTACCATGTGGCATTCTCAGTACTAAATTTTGTACTGCGTTACACGTGATTACGTTTAATGGCGCGCTTTGTTTGCGTAGACGCGGAGACCTTTACGGTCGGCAGAGCACCCTGGCCACGCCACCACTTCTCGCACATATTCGGGAATATAGTGGACTTCCTTATAAAATAATAATAAAAAAATAAGCTTTGCCAGTGAAATAATTCTGACGAGATGGCATCGAAAACGTTCAAAGCTACCTGATAAATTCTAAGTTGCTCGCCCTTCACCAGTCTTTATTTGGGTGGAGACAAAGTTTCAAAAACACTACTAGTATGCCGAAAAGTCTATTCCTGTTTTCCATAAGGCATATTCAGATACAAATGCACTGCAACACCTGATGTTCATACCAATAAAGTCCTTGCAAGATCCACTCATCATGGCATGTAGTGCGTTTGACGTGGTAGAGCAATATGTTTTAGAATAGTTCACACACTGGAGCATGAGTGCTTACATGGGCAACGATGATGCATTGGGCATTATTCAAGTTACCTTTGAATGCATAGCGGTGGGCTCGCTATCCGTCTTGAAACACTCCCAGTTTGAAACGACCGCTGTCGGTATCTCCACGTCCACTCTGTCTCTATCATGATTGAGTACACTTGCTTGCAGTCCATTGAAGGCTAGTTGAAAGCTGACTAGTTTCTCTGGATACGTTCTACTCAGGAGCAGTGCGAGCGGTTCTACTCGTCTCCACGCTCTATGTGAAGCCGGAGCCTATTCCAAATGCTACTTATCTGTATAGCTGAACATATCGCACAAAAATCTCAGTTCCCACAAAGCTAAAGAAGAAAGAAGAAAGGCAAAGCATTGTACCGCGTGCCCAGCATATTTTGGTCTTTCCAAAAAAATATTTTACTTTGGTTCTCTGCATGCAGCGCTTGATGGTTTGTACTTGTAGAGCTGAGAAATGTGCGAAAATTGTTATGCCTTGAAAGGCGTGATAATATCTCTTCATCGCCTACCTGAGTACCTGATCACAGATGTTCATCTGACCTCGCCTAGGTGTTTCCAGGACCATGTTCTACCAGTACTGTGGCAGTAGATCTACAATGTACAAGTACTGAAGTAGGTACAGGTAAAACTGCGTAATCGTCGTCTGGAATGTGCGAGCAGGTAGGTAGAAGCAGAGAGTCGTATATTTATACCATACGACTTCCTGGTAGAAGTACACAGTAGGTACCTAACCGTCCAAAAGTCACACTCGGAACCATCGATGTTCACACCTTGCGATCGCCAGTCAGTAGTGCAGTCCATGGATCCAGTCTCCTCTCCAGGTCCGGTTCTGGGGTGCAAGTGCAGTCATTTTGTTAGATTGACAGCATGAAACAAGGTGGAGGACACTGTTCACTCCAGGATTAACTCCACTTGATACGAGTTGACACCGGAGGTAAGACGTAACTCAAGCTCGTTTTTTCTTTAAATTATTTGTGAGATTATGCACGTAACTAACAAAACTGCATGATCAAATTGAGGAACTTGTAGGTAGTTGTTTGCAGATGAAATTCAAATAACGTTTTTTCAGCAGTACAAGTTCACGTGACAACAACAATAACATACGAGTTAGTTTCAAGCGGTACTGATGAAGGTAACCAACGTGTAGCAAATTTGAAGCAGTTGCTCAGGTTTGTAGATGAAATTTTTAAATTTCATCTACAAACCTGAGCAACTGCTTCAATTTTAAAAGTTTTCTTGACCAGTACTAGTTTACGTGACAACATCAACAACAAACAAGTTGACTAGTGGAGGTAACCAACGTGTAGCCGGGGTGTTCCGACCTGGTGAAGACCTACCCATGGCCACGTCGGGACATCACCAACCCTGTCTATAGAAAGCACCTTCTCGCGACAGTGTACTGGTGGTGGCAGTAACTGTTGACTGCTGACGAGCTGAGAGAAGGACGCCATGGGCAGAAGTTGGAAGAAAAGAAGTTGAGGTTAAATTAGCTACATGACTACCAGGACGACATCCAGGAGCGATCAAAGAATACACGACGGACGTAAGGAGTAGTCTCCAACCCCCCCCCCCCCCCCCCCTAGCATAATGAGGGTCAGAGCCGGGTTCAATACCCATACTATTATGGTTCAAGTGGTCCGCAGGGACCGGGGCTCTGCCAACCGCGGAAGGTTGTAGTAAGGTCACTGTTTTCGAACACAGTGTCCTCTACCTTGTTATTTATTTATTTGTATCATTTATTGGGTTATAATAAATAAGTGCAGAGTCATGTATTGGTACATGACATTGTATTATTGTACACTCTATTATGTACACTATGAATTGTCACTCAGGGTATGCCACGTTTCTATGCACAATGAGCGCAATTGCGCCAATTTAGCCCTATAAATTAATCAGTCTATTCTTATTCTTTCATTCAACATCTTATGCCTCCACTGATGAGCTCAGGAGGAGCGAAACAGCTGTCTGGAGGGTCATTGTCAATATCAATCTATATACCGGAATCGTCCTCGCTGTGGTGATGGTGATGAGTGTGCAAAGTTTGGATCGGCAGCGCAGAGCGCAATGTGGTGGTGTGGTGTATTGGACACTAAAAATACCCATGTACCAATCCTCTACTAAGTAGCAATGGACCGTATGCGTGTTAAAACAAAACATATTAATTATTATTAACCCTAGAACAGCCAACGGTGTCATTTGACACCGCGCGAGTCAAACTTTTGGAATTACCGAAAAATGGCTAATCAGAATAAGCTCAAATCTTGTGACTATTCCTAATTTTGCTTCCTCTTTCGTCTGCCATAAACCTTTGATTTCAAATTTATGAGGTACCATAATGGCGAGTACGTATACCTAGAACGGCCAACCAGTGTCATTTAGGTGTTGGCGGATAATGCTCGGTAATATGGGATATAATGCTCTCAGTAATGCTTCACAAAAGGCCATATAATGCTCCAAATAATGCTGATAATGCTCCGCCGGATGGACTATAAACACCTGAACCTTGCGGTATTGGGCTAAGAAAAACTCGAGTGGGATTCCTGCTTGCAACATAGAACGCACAATCTGGATCCGCCGCAGAGACTCGGCTGAACTAACGGCCTCAGTAAGACCGGTGCCAGCTAGAGCCTTGCCAAGTCGTTTTTGATACGCCAAGAAGGACTCCTTGACCAGCTTCTGCCTCTGAGTTTCCCTCTCCAAACGGGACTTTCCTTGTTTGTGTCTCGCGGTAGCAATATGGGACATGAGTATACCTACTCTTCTTCCCTGGCAATGTTGTATGGCATGCCAGGCACACTAATTTGCCACAATCGGTTTTGAGCGGCTCATCTGGGAACTCCCGCACCCGTATTTCGGCACTGATGGCTACTCCAGTGCTCTGTCAATGAGCTACTCGCGTCCTTTTGGAAACATTTTTCAGACTTGGTAATAGCTGTTCCTCGGCTTCCTCGCTATCGCGGCAGGATCTGCAGTTTCCAACTCGACGACGTCACTATCATCAGAGTACTCCGCCAAAAGCTCATCTGGAGAAAGCCCAGCTTCCTCCCAATACCAAGAACGGTATCGCGGCGAGTAAGCCATCAGCGTTGGCTGCCAGTTAGCTGGTCTTCCACAATGGTCAATGTCCGGTGAAAGTCCAGCGTTACTCTTCGACAAAGACATGGACCCTTGCTTCGATGAAGAATGTTTTTATGTAACATTGTGGACGGTAACCGGGTAAGGTCTGGAATGTGTGCGTGTGCGCACCTCCACCGTTCCATGCTGGCTCACATTTTTTTCGTTGGTTCGGCGTTGTTACCTGGATCTTCAAAAAGTAATAGTTGCTGGGCGTAGATAGACTTCCGGGACCGGAAGTTTCTGGGAGAGTTTCCACACTGTGCTCATACCATGGTGCTGGACCACAGCTAGCTAGCACTACTGCATACAGACTTGCAGTATACTGGCCCTACTAACTGGGCCTGGCACTGCGTGCCACGATCTGTTTGGTACCATGCATGATGTGTACGATGGTCTATCGCTTGTAGCAAGAGTAGATAAACAAGAGTGTGCAACTCCGGATCTCTCCTGCATAATCTGCAGATACCCCCGCCCACGGCGGAATTTTTTGTTGACATCACCTTTTTCAGAAGAACGCGCATTTTGCCGCAGAGCAGTGTGAGCGCACGTGCTGGGCACCGACCTTGCAGTGTAAAGCCGGCCAAGAGCACGAGGGAAAACTTTCCGAAACGACTCGCAGCGCGTGCGTCGTCGAAAAGATTACGTCAACAAAAAATTCCGCCGTGGGCCAACCCATCGCGGAGTTGCACACTCTTGTTTATCTACTCTTGCTTGTAGTAATACATAGCGTATAGTAATATATGTTGCCAATCAAAGACCAACCCCGATACGAATCTGTACATGACGAATTGACAATGTGTGTAGATCTACTATGCAGTCATGAAGAACGTAGTATGATGCCATTTTTGGCCTCGTAATGCTTTATAATGCTCGTAATGCTCCGGGTGGTGTATAATTATAATAATTATTATTATTACTTGCATGTACGCGTTGGAGTCAACCATGCAAGCATGATTCACAACTTCGCTTACGCTGAACATGATAAACAGGACTATGACAGGGGAAAATATTGAGCTAGAAAAATGATATCATTATGATAATTCTATCATAGTAACAATGTAGCTCATGGGTATTGAAGATGTCATTTGTGAATATGCCTATAATTATGAATATTGCAGCCTGAGTGATAATAATAGTGCTATTTCCTGAGTGTGACTGTTTCAGGATCTGTCGGAATCACAATGCACAGACCCTCATGCATAGATCTCGTCATGCGGGTCTGTCATGGGCAAGGGCTTGCAGACTTTGCAGAGCGTCTAGGCTCCTGAGCAATCCAGCATTGGCTTGGCGCAGATCTCCCACCATTAGGCATTACAGCCGCGAACCACGTAGTGGAAAGCTACACAAGATGGGCAACCCATTGTCACATGTACAGACAATTGCAAAAACGTTCCGAACATTCAGGGAGAAGACATTACTTGCATGGCACATTGTGCTGTATAGTGCTGGATATAATGCCGGCATTATCCGCCAACACCTAGTGTCATTTGACACCTGCACCAAAAAAAGCCATTATTGCTGCTCAATGGAAACAATATGAACACATATCGAAGGTGTCGGCCATATTGAGTTCCTCGTATGCCAACCAGACAAAAGAAAGGTGCATGGGCAGGAAAATTGCTGAATACGGTACGGAAAATATGATCAACATACAACCGTCGGGCGAGAATCGCGAATTTGGGGCGGGTAAACTTTAGTGCACAGACTACACAAACACTCTTCAGCTAATGTCCTTGATACTGCTTATGCCCTTTCATTTTCCTGCAAATTTCCCCAGAGGCGCCATCGCGGTCTGACGGCCAAGGAAATACTAGAATGGATGTAGCCTATTACCATGCATGAATCTGATGACCAAGAAATCGAAATGGCCCACTTGATCTGCATTTGATAGATATTCAAGTGTAGTGATCATTGGCAGTGGTGCATCTGTTCTGTAGTATGAGGGCGAATCGTACGATCACAACACCTGAGTACCTGTGGATTCAGAATGTACATGCATTGAGGTTTACGAGCCTCCAGAGAGCGGACAAGTATTGGTGTATAGTCTAGACAAGGAATTGTCAGAAACAGTTGCAGGAGTAGTGGAGACCCCGAAATGGATAATGTTGAGGAAGAAGAATCGCAATTTTGCAACCT